CCAGCCACTCCTCGGAAGGAAGGTTGGGCAATCCTACTTCCGTAGTGATACTGCCTCGGAAACCCAAGGAGGGGTCGCTATGAGTCAGGTATGACTCGACAGAACATAACAACAACAACAACTGATTAATAACACCATATTCAACTCAAACCAGAGTATCAGAGTTGATATTTAGAATGGGGTGCTCTTTATGTAAGTGATCTATTGTTACAACGTTGTCGTTCTTGCTTTTAGATTGGTTTTGCGGATTGCCACTGATGATTCCAAAGCAGTCTGTCGCCTTAGTGTTAAATTTGGTGCCACGCTCAAAACCAGTAGGCTTCTTTTGGAACGTGCTAAAGAGCTAAATATTGATGTCATTGGTGTCAGGTGAGATCTTGGTGGTGGTATAGTTGGCAGCTTAAGATACCAGGCAATCAAGTTTTAGAAAATTTCTGCCACTGTATTTTAAGAAACAGTATCAGTATATTTTTCCTTGTTCTTTCTTTTACCCCAGTTTCCATGTGGGAAGTGGCTGTACTGACCCCGAGACCTTTGTGCAAGCAATCTCTGATGCCCGCTGTGTCTTTGACATGGGAGTGAGTATATGTAACCTCAAGTGCCAGAGCCCTTTCAGTAAAGTGGGGTGGGCAGGACTAACAATAACTAGTCTTAATTCTAAAATTATCCTGGTAGGAGTACATCCTGTATTAGAGAGGCTAAAGTCTATCTGCTACATAATATTTTATATTACTTGTTCTAAATGGCTATTGGATTGACTTATTAATTTTCTTGACTCTAGGCTGAGGTTGGTTTCAGCATGTATCTGCTTGATATTGGTGGTGGCTTTCCTGGATCTGAGGATGTGAAGCTAAAATTTGAAGAGGTACTTTATAGCAAAACTAATGCAACTGTTTTAGCAAGGGTTCCTCCCCCACACACACACCAGTATTTCAAAGCTTAAGTATTTTAACTCATAGCAGAGGGACTATACAAATATGTAGAGTCAACTTTTCTAAAATCTTCAGTGTCAACTGATTGCATTGAGGAAATGTTAACTCCTACTTTGTTTATAATTAGTTTACTGTGGAAATACTAGAGAACATACTGACTGTTGTTGTTAAGTGCCGTCGAGTCGTTTCCGACTCATAGCGACCCCATGCACAGCAGAACGAAACACTGCCCGGTCCCGCACCAGCCCCACAATCCCTGCTATACTTGAGCCCATCATCGCAGCCACCGAATCAATCCATCTCCTTGAAGGCCTCCCCCTCTTTCGTCGACC